TCAATTTCATGGAAAATGCATTCTTGTGAGGTACTTTGATTTTTATTTTCCAACTTACATAGAATTGAAAATTTTTTTCACTTTTACCAATCAAACGAACCCTTAATTCAAAAAGTAACTTTTGAATTTTAAAAATCCTGCCAAATGTATCCTTATTATATATAAATTAAACAATAAAGTGATTCATATTCTGTCAACATGGTACAATATTATTCTTCACTCTCTCTCTATCCGAAGTCTATTTCATCTTATTTAATCATCCATAGCATCAACTTATTTTTCTGAATATATCTACTCATGGCTGAGAAGGTAAGAATATTTTTAAGCTCTGTGTTTATGTCTACTTCTATTTTATGAACATGGCTTAGGATTTTTCTTCACAAAATATTATTCATATTTCATTTTTGAAGCTACTGCTTTTGTCTTGCATTCAGTATCTTCATCAATTTTGTCCAATCAGGTTACTGTGATGGTGCTGAAGGTTGATCTCCAATGTGCTTCCTGCTACGAGAAAATTAAAACAATTGTTTGCAAAATTCCTCGTAAGTCTTTAAATTTGTCCATATTATGATTGAACAAGAACAAATATTATATATTTTCGTGTTTGGATAAGAACTGACTTATATTCTTGATGTAAAACTTATTGGAACAAAAGAAATTAGAGGGCAGATATATGATGTCAAGCAAAATACAGTGACGATCAATGTAGTATGCTGCAGCCCAAAAAAAATTCGTGACGAATTGTGCTGCAAAGGTGGAAAGGTTATCAAGAATATTGAAATACAAGAGCCCGAAAGCCCTAAAACGCCCGACATGGAGCCCGGGAGGCCTAGAGTGTGTGTACGTCCACCACCGCCTCCACCACCGCCTCCACCATCGTCTCCACCACCGCCTCCACCATCGTCTCCACCACCGTCTCTACTACCGCCTCCAGCACCAGTGAATGGGCCCGAAATTCGAATCACACTTGATCAACCGGCACGGACTTGTTGTGAACCATGTTCACAAGGTTATGGTGGGGGTCCATGCTACCATGGGTACCCAGCTCCGCCGTTGTGTTCCAACAGTTATTATGGTTATGGGTATGGACGTGAGTGTAAATGTGGATGTGGTTGTGGTTGTGGTTGTGGAAGGGGTTGTCATCTGAGAAAGTGTGTTTGTTATATTGAAGAAAATCCCAGGACTGAATGCAAGATCATGTAACAAGTAATTTGTGATAGTTTTCCACTTTTTACTATGATTGGATTGTGATCTAATCTTCAATAAATTTGAGGTATTGGTCTAATACCTAGATGGTGAATAGGTGTCTTGGTACTATGTTTGTGGGTCATATGCTATGTGGGACATCCAACTTTGAGATGAGTTGTACCCGTATCACTTTTCAATTTAATAAAATTAAGTCATGTAACTTCTATTAAATTTAACTTCTACATCTAATTGTATCAAATTGAAGATGAATAGCATGAATGGAACTATGCTTAAAGTTCGGCGACTTTCAGTGCTTATATAGATTTGTCGGTTTGTTAAAGATTTTGATTGTATTCTTTGTTTACTTAGTTCATGTTTGGTGTAGATAAGAATTATATTTTTAGCACATTTTTATAAACGTTGTTAGAATATGTGGTTGAAAAATTATGGATCCTATAAGATATATTATTAAAATCAATTATTAATTTTGACTTGAATTCTAATCTAAATTTTAAATCGAATCAAAAGGGGTCTTTATAGAGTTGTGTCACAAGCTGGGTCATATAATATTAAACCCATGTTTGGACTATATTAAAAGTTTATTGAAGTTTCAAGTCAAAGTCAATTATAAATTTTAACCACACATTTTATCAATTTTTATCAAAATTTACCAAAAATTTAATTTTAATCTACACCAAACATGGGCTAATTTTACACAGTGATGTCAAAAGATATGAGAAAGTTTGAGTCTAGCCAAATTTTCTCAATGACTTGGCGATTGTTTAATAAAACTTTGCTGAAATATTACAACTTGTCAAACTTCAATCTTTAACAAAATATTTCATAGGATCCACAACATTTATCAACTTTTATCAAATATGTATCATCTTTTATTTATCAAACAAGGACTTAATTTTGAAACACCTAACGGCTAGAATATATTTTTCATGGGAAACATGATTAAGGTGCTTTTTGATAAAGTTTTCGTTAAAAGTCTTAGTAAATTTTAATAAAAATTAACGTAATCTGTAACTGAAAAGTTGTGGATTCTATAAAATATATAGTTAAAATTAACTTTAAATTAAACTAAAATCAAAATTTAATTCCTCACAAAAAACGTGCTAAAGATATTTCGTTGACCTTGTTTTTGTATACAAAGTACCATTTTTAATGAGCTTTTTTGTCTTTATTTTTGACGTTAATTTGGATTGAGAAAAATAAGTACAAAAAATGAAGACTTCCTAATCTTTTAGTGACAAGTGTGGCTGTAAATGAAATGCCAAGTGATTTCTTGAAAAATCACAACCTCTCACTTTATAAAATACGTGGTTAGAAGCAAAAAAATTGCTTTGGAAGAAACTAAAGTTCGGCAAACATAATAGAATATAATTAGCATGAGAAAATTCATCTTAAGATTGTCTTACCTTTCAAAATTCCGTAAGCAGTGTCAAGGATTTTTATTTTTTTTTCTTTGGCAGTACCCTTGCCAACAGCCATGTAGGGGAACCGATAATCACCAGTTTGTTCCTTTTACGAATCTATTTTAAGTTTGTTAAACAATATAATAGCAAAATTATATAATATCTGTTATACTTGGAAAAGAACAAACTATTAGTGAACTGTATAGATAAAACAATAAATAAATTGATTGTCAAAAGAGAACAAATTTGCAAAACGATGCATTTGTAAACACAATGTCCTTAAAACATATTTGTCCCCTTACCGTAAGTGCTTGAGAATTTAGCGAGCTTCTACTTCGCAGGATACAAAGGAGAAACTGTAGAAATTTAGCAATGAATTTCTACATCGGCGAACTGAATATATATTTGAACAGAACACCAAGACTCTAGACGGAAACTGAAAATACTGAAAGATAGAAAACCAGAAAACAGAAACTGGAAGTTGTATGTGCAGAAAGTATGTTCGTGTGTGTGGAGTGGACATGATTCAAAGGAGAAACCTGTAGAAATTTAAATTGAGTTTCTACATCAGCGAACTTAATATATGTTTGAATGGAACACCAAGACTCTAGACGGAAATTGAAAGTACTGAAAAATAGAAAACCAGAAAACAGAAACTGAAAGCTGTATATATATGCAAAGAGTATTTTTGCTTGTGTTGAGTAGAAGAAAAATGGCTTGTTTAAGTAGGATGTAAAGTAGAATTAATCTCTCTATGTTGGAAAATAAACCAAATTAGTGATAACTGATGAATTTAATAATCATTTACTAAACTTTATTTAGTGTCTACAGGTATTCCAATAACTTATTGAATAAGTTGAAGAGTCTTTTGTTTCATCTGCACTAATTTTTTAAGGTAATAGAATTGAGCATTTTTGATAATATACTTCTCAATTTTCTTGCCTTCAATCTATAAATATGCCATTAACTCCAAATTATATTGGCAATAAAATTGAAGTTTCAATAGTTTTAGAATATCATAAGTTAGTTAGAGAAAGCAAAACGTGAACACTTGTAAGGGGCCAATTTTTGGTTCATTCGGTCCTACTTTTGTGTGCGCTAGACGCGCTCGCACACAAGTTCAAGGTCCGATGTGCACTTTCGATCCTTGATTTGTATCCCCCCCCCCCAGTGAATGCACATGGAGAGAGTCTCTATGCCACACATGATTATACACTTCCAAAGTGTTACCATATATAAGGTGGTCATTGCTTTTATAATTTTCCTACGTGTGACAAATTACATATAGTTTTCCATCCAAGCACCATGTTTCATACGTATGAAATATTTGAACTTCCCAGTTTCATGCGTATGAAATTGCCTTTTCAAACTCCTTTTAGGTCATCAAATTTGAGCTTCAAGTTTTCATTCACCTGATTATCATTTTTGGCAAGTAAACATATGATTTTGATGTTTTCACGGAAGAGTACATGAATCAACTTCGATCTTCCAAAATGAACGAACGAGTCCCACACAAAATTATGCCAATACAGCCCCATTAAAACCATTTTTTCCCAACACAAATTTCCCTGCTGAACTTCTGGGTGTCACATATTTATCGGGAGGGACAAGTAGCAGTACTTAGCAACATATGCAGTGAAACACAAGGCATTCTCATAGTGGTCTACATGCCCGGGGTTGTGCTCCATATTGGTTTCTGGTGATATAACAGTCAACTGCAACTATCAGTCTATGCTTTGATTTTTTTTTTTTTTCTAATCTGGAATTTTGTGGCCTGAAAATTATATTATATTTGTTCTTAATAATAAACTATTTTGGTGGGTAAATAATGAGAGTGCTACGGAGGTGTCAACTTGGTTGGGATGTTGTGGTGCACCTGCTGATTCGTGTCAACTTCACATAAAAAAAATCCTCTCCTTTAATTTCGATATCTTATTCTTGTAGAGATGACGTTTCTCACTTCCTCAAGCAAGTTTCCCTGAGGCGTAAGGTGTAACAATGGAGCAAGGTCAAGCTTCAAATTTTAATAAAAAAATGTTTTCTTATGTTAATATTATTTTTATTTTTTATAAGAATATTTAATTAATTAATTAATGCATACAAAACAACTAAATTCATAAAAAAAAAACCATAATTATTTAATAATTCCTACAACTAGACAATTTTCAAGTTTCTAAAAACTAGT